CATCGACCTTGAACTCATGAACATTGACTCGTAACTCCGTACTATATAGGGCTATTCCAGTACCAACTGGTCCCACAAGTACTATACAAATAACTGATCTTAAGCTTTGCCAACTAAAACTCAGATTATCTAACTGGTAAGATACCCGACTTAACTGACTCTAAAGGTTGTCATTTGCTGAAACTATACTGCTCCAGTCCCAGCTTCAAGCCTCCATGGTATACCCGGCTAAGTGGCTTTTATTTCAAGCCTCCATGGTAACCCGGAATATTGACTCTTATGCACTGAAAATCGTTAGTTCTGATAATGGTTTAGGAAATATGACAACCTCTAGCATGAAAATTTAGCCCCGAACTTGATTTACTGATCTGACTTAGGAAATCTGAGTCTATTCCCTGACCTTAGTCAAGGAATTTCTTGCTGGAATGTGCCAACTGAATGGCAGAATGGCAATTTCTGATAGAAAATATTTGAGAAACATGTCTGATAAGATTTGTACTTACTAAATGACTCACAAATCTCTTGACAAGTCGCTAAATAACCCGAGAAAACTAAAGTCGAAATATATATGACTGGGATAATCGACTATGTTCTGAGGAAACTTCATCATTGACTCGAGCATCTTACTGGTTTCTAGGGTCAAATATCTGGTACCCTCTACTGAGCATAGACTTAAGTATCCATTTAAATATATATAAACTATAACTCAGCACTTACCTGATAGTCGGCGAGGCGTGAGCGTAGTGTGGTCGGGTTTTCTGAAAATTTTCTGACTCGCTGAAGTATTCAGATACACAAAACGTGCTCTGATACCATTTGTAACACCCCGCAAGCTTACTAAAATCAGAGTGCAAATTTCGCGAATTCTTTCCTAAAAATACGTTTTTGTTTGCGAAATCATGACTCGGGATGCTACTGAAAAACATTCTTTTTCTTTAAATCTGTCGTCTTTATCAATTTAAAACCATTTATGAAAAACGATTTATCTTTTAATCAAACGAGCGTGTAATGCTGTATGAAATCTGACCCAAAGGCTCGGATCCAAGTCTGAAAGATAACACGCTAGTTTGAGAGTCTGAAAACATTAGCGGAAGTCAAACGTGGCAAAACATAACTGTACAATAATGTACAATGGCTGCTAGCCATATCCGTGACCACGATCAACTAACCAGCTCACTCCTCTGGTCCGACCCTGTACTTGAAAAACATAGAAATCGTGGGGCGTGAGCACTAAAAGCCACTGTGCTCCGCAGAAACTCATACTAAAGTAAGTATCATGACTGCAGGTATATATAAGTAAACTGTAATCTCCACACACAAGGTCTGTAACTGAACTGAACTGTCTCGGACACTATGTCCGCCATGTGCACACTCTGATGGATACTTAAGGCCTTGCGCCTCCATCAGAACTTTGGATGGTAATTGAAGGCCTTGCGCCTCCACCCAAAGTGGATAATCTCATATACATACCTTTAAACGTGGCTGAGTAATTATAATCAATGTAATACTTATTCTGAGTTCCCACCTGAACAGCTGATCTGAAAATGTAAGTGCTGATTGCCTGTAAAACTGACATATATAAACAAATACTAAGTACTATGCTCAAACTGACTGAAAATAGCTATTAAGATGCTCGACTCGATCTAAACATTTAACTGGTATTATCTCGGGGTTTAACTTGACTGACAAGAAAATCGGACTGAACTGATACCGGCGTACTGAAATGACTGAACTGAAAAATTAACTGAAATA